CGTGGGGCCGCTGGCGCGGGATCTGGGGCTCAGCGCGGACGAGCTGCCGGCGCGCAAGCTGCGGCTGAGCGAGGAGAAGCAATACTTCACGGTGAGTGAGGAAAACGGGAATCTGTATGTGTACGAGAGACTGGACCGGGAGGAGATGTGCGGCACGTCACCGACCTGCACCGTCAGCTTCGAGGCGCTGGTGCACAACCCACTGAACATCTTCCGTGTTGAGGTGGCCATTGAGGACGTGAATGACAATTCCCCGGTCTTCAGGAAGGCTTCTCTGGACCTCGATATAGGTGAATGGATACCTCCCGGCGCTCGTTTTCCGCTGGAGATGGCACGAGACGCCGACGTAGGAAGCAACTCCCTTCTGACTTACCAACTCACCAACAACCCGTCCTTCAGTCTGGCCGTGAAGGAGAACCCGGGTGGAAAGAAGCTGCCTGAATTAGTGTTGGAGAGAGCGTTGGACCGGGAGAAGCAGAGCTCCTTTGAGCTGGTGCTGATGGCGGTGGATGGAGGAGACCCCGCGAGGTCCGGGACTGTCCAGGTTCGCATTAACGTGACGGACGCCAACGACAACCCACCCGTGTTCAGCAAAAGTATGTACGAGGCGCGAGTGGCGGAGAATCTTTCGGTGGGGTCACTGGTGCTGCAGGTGCTGGCCAGGGATGCGGATGCGGGTTCCAACGGGAAGGTCTCCTACTCCTTTGGCAACGTCCCAGACGACGCCGCTATGTTGTTCAGCATCGACAGCGAGAGTGGCGAGATCAGGACAGCGAGTCCCCTAGATTTCGAAGAGAACAGTAAATATACCTTCGGCCTCGAGGCGAGAGACGGTGGTGGACTCACCGGGAACTGCGAAGTGCAAATAGATATCACGGACGTGAACGACAATGCGCCCGAGATAACAATTTTGTCGCTGTCGAGTCCCGTGACCGAGGACGCTCCGACCGGCACCGTGGTAGCCCTGCTGAAAGTGCGCGACAGAGACTCCGGCGAGAACGGTCAGGTGTCGTGCGAGTTG